TAGTACACAGTACATACAGAGGGACACGTGGCACCTTCAGCCTGGTGGCTTAAGGCAAAATATTCCATGTGATCCTCTAAGACACATGTCTTCTCTCTATTTGGCCACTTGGTGTCCTCTTGGTACCAAGGAAAAGCCTATAAATATGACCCATTTCCCAAGGTTCAACAAGAGGAATTTTGGGGATTTGAGGAGATGCTACCCATTTGCGCACTGCTATATATTTCTTCTTGAGCTACTGCTTCACCCTCACCTAGCTGCTCACTCTCCAACTTCCCAGACAGTTGCAGCTGCTCATCCTCCAGTCATTCCACCACTCTTGGACCATTAGCATAGTTTTGCCTCTGTAATCACCTTCCTAACCTCGAACCCCCCTACATATATATATATTTAAAAATATATATAAATTTTATTGATTTATGTCACATTTGTTCTTCTTCTTTTTCATGGCCCACTTGATGTGACAAAAAATGTAACGTCCCAATTTTTATACCCAAATGATAATACGATAACCATGGTTATTTAAAGTAAAATTGAAAATAAATCCCCACACTTGCATTATATGATACAAATAGTCTTTAGGCGATACTACATTTACTTCAAATCAAAATAACATAAACAAATAGATACCCCCAAGGGTTTACAAGTTTCCAAGGCTTAGGCCTAGTTACACAAAATGGTTATTCAAGCACACACAAATACAATCCTTGGCTTACAAACAGAGTTACAGCAAAATGAGAGTCTTGTGCTCTCAACACATATTTCCTCGCCTTTAGTTAGGCGGGATCGCCACATCTTTTCCTGCACAAAAATTCTGTAGGGTGAGCATAAAGCCCAGTAGGAAATCCTTAACAAAGTATAGACATTCTATACAAGTCTCAAGAGATGAAATGCACATGTCATGCTATGCCCCTTTTTGAAAGTAAATCACATTTTCATCTTTTAAAAACCATCATGTTCAATGATGTCATGCAATTTCAATTGTTCAAAACTTAACAATTTATTTCAAGGGCAGTAAATACGACTCTAGTAATTCGTAGGTTAGTGTCTGCAAGTAGACTATACAAGTGCTACCAAATTGTCATTTTTACCAGTATTAATCGGAAGGCTCGACACCTATCCGCGCGGGTTTTTGGTCTTTCACCCCAGACTCTCAGGCCAACTTATTCAATATCATCTACACCACTTATCAAGACTTACCAACATATTTACCCCAAAACCATTCCATGAAAACTTGTTTCTCAACATTTTTTTTCTCAATGCAAGTTTTCAAATCAACTTTCAAAATTTAATGTAATCAAATGAATTGATATGCCAATTTTATAAGATGAATATAATTACTTTTATTCCGATTCATCATCCAAGGAATAACACAATTCCCTCTTCTCAAGTATCCTCAACTTTTAGTCATTTCAAGATTATTTCAACGTTTTGAACAATAATTTCCAAAATGAACAACAATTCTCATATTCTATGAAATTCATCATTTATATAAATATAAATAAGAAATTTTCCAAACATCCATTTATTTTGACACACAAAATAAATATAACAATATCATTCATGGATTTTCAATTTCTTTTAAAAATCCCCAATTTCTAGGTTTTCTCACCAAAATTATACAACTCAAATCTTTTGAAAGAAAACTTTTCAAAATCATCTTTTCTTCAATCAACGAAGATTAAAACCCATAAGATCATTTTAAAAGAACAAGAGACAAGCCCACTTTCAAAATCGCTCAACTCCTTGAATCAACAATCAATTTTCAAAGCTATCAAAGGATGATTTCGAAAATCATCTAGATCTTGCAAAAATATATATATATATATATAACTCTAAGAAAAAATCCCTACCTCAAGTATTGAAGAAGAATTGAGATGAAACCCCAAAATCAACGGTGCCTAAACTCGATCTCTACTGCACACAACGAAGCCCTTGAGATGATAACCAACTTTGATGAAGAACTTAGGTCTAAATCCCAATGGATTTGGAGAAATCAAAGAGAGAAGATGACTTCTAGAGAGAGAAGCTCTAGATCTGAAATTCTGGAGAGTTTTAGAGAGAGAGAGAACTGCAAAAGTGATCTGAAATATCAAATTCACAAACTGATATAACATGGTCCGCTCGAGCGTCAGACACAGCCTCCTGCTAGAGCATGGAAAGCTCCACTCGAGCGTCGAATACACTTTCCCAGTATTTTTGCAGACATGTCAAACTTTTAGAACCAAACATTCTCTGATCCCCGACCTATTCAGCGAAGTGGCAAAACATGAAAGAATTAACTTATGATACAACTCTGCAAGGCACAAATCAGGTTGGATTCGCATCTAAAGGTTTGGAGACATTATCTGTTCCAAACACACCGCTACAACCCGATAACCAAAATAAGGGGAATACTGGGAAACTAAGATACGTAACACTATTCAAAACCATACCAATCCAAGCCTGAAAAATCACACAGAGACGGATCAAAACCGGGATCGCTACAAAAAAAAAAAAAAAAAAACCTTATCATCAAACTTTTTCTTCGTTTCACAATAACCAATAAATTCTCTTTCTTGACATGGGTGGACCACAACACATCTTGTCATTCGAGAAGACTTTGTGCCGTCAAAGGATACCAATACTCGGATTGGATCTCATCGGCAATGGCAAAGATGCCCTTTTTAATTATCAATTAATTATTTTTTTACTTACATATGATTATAGTTAAAGAATAAATCTTAAAATTAAGCTTATATGTCATTTTCTTAAAATAATTGTCCATTAACTTTTGTTACCGTAAACTCTCTTTAAGTTTTCTCCATGAAAAATTATTAATTAATCATGGAGGGTTCCTTATCAATCACAAATTACAATACTCTCTAATAAATTTTAATCATCTAATATAAATTATGACCCCAACAACCAATATCTTCTCTTTTTTCACATGATGGACCACCCAACACATATACCTTGTCAATTATGCAGTCAGGGATACCAATACTGGGATTGGATCTTAATTATCGGCAATGGCAAAGATGCCCTTCAACTTGAAAGTATTATATATGTATATACATATATTTTAAAAATATATAAATTTTATTAATTTATATCACATTTGTTCTTTTTCTTTTTCATGGCCCACTTGAAGTGACAAAAAAATTAAAAACCTTATCATCAAAGTGAGCCATTTTTCTTTTCTTGGTTTCATACGCGCGTGCGTCCCTTGCATATTATTTTTCTTTTCTTGGTTTCATATGCGCATGCGTCCTTTGCGTATAATAATATAACAGTAGTACTATTTGAATTCAAAAATTAAATTTATTTTTTAAATTTAATGATTAATCAATTAATTGTTTTTATGTTTTATTTCTCTTACATTTATATCTTTTTTAATTATCAATCAACTATCTTATTTATACATTATTAAATTTAAAAAATAAATCTAAATATTAGATTTATATATCATTTTCTTAAAATAATTATCCCATTAACTTTTGCTACCCTAAACTTCTCTCTTTCAAGAACATTACATAACAATATTTATCACCAATCACAAATCATCATATCTCCCTCAACATATTTTCTAGTAGCAATGCTAAGTATTATGAAAAACCTTTTATGAAAATAATCATGAAAGTTTTGTGACCCTTGGATTACACTTAGAATGAAGCACCACACACTAATCAAGGTAATCCAAGAATTATAAATTTTTCATGATCATTTTCATGACAAAATTTTCATGATCCCTAACTTTCCTCATTTCCTAATCACGAATCACAAATCATCATATCTGTACATATTTTCTAATTATTTAACCGAATTCAAAAATTAAATTAATTTTTTAAATTTAATGATTAATCAATTAATTGCTTTTATGTTTTATTTGTCTTACATTTATATCCCTTTTAATTATCAATCAACTATCTTATTTATACATTATTAAATTTAAAAAATAAATCTAAATATTAGATTTATATATCATTTTCTTAAAATAATTATCCCATTAACTTTTGCTACCCAAACTTCTCTCTTTCAAGGGCATCATGTAGGGTACTTTTCACCAAGTACAAATCACCATCGCTCCATATTTCCTAATCACCTATCACAATGAGCAATAACTTCTCTTTCTTGACATGGGTGGACCACACAACACATCCTGTCATTTGAGGAGACTTTGTGCGGTCAAGGATACCGACGTTGGGATTGGATCTCATCGGCAATGGCAAAGATGCCCTCCAACAAGTCCCTTGAAAGTCCCTTGCCATTGTTTCCAAGAAACCATCCATAAGGTATTGGCTTAAAACTTAAATTAAATCCCTCTTCTTTTTCAGATGCAACAAGTCATATTCAATCAAAGAAGTTCTTTGTTGTTCGAAGTGATTAAGCCCTTGCATTTTTCACCTTCTTGAGATCAAACCACCCAAATTCAATACGTATACAGAGTGTACAAAAGAACATAACTGCCAAGGATGGTTGATGCTGTTGTCTCTTCCGTAGTGCGAAGTGTTGGATAAAATAGTATCAAACTATAAGGAAAATATAATGTAAAATTATATAAATGCTTTTTGGGCAAAACCAAAAACTCAAATATATCAACATAATAACGTGATAAAACTTACAGTGCGTAAACAGATAAAACCTGATCGAGTCGAGTGTGTGACACTCTTTTCTTAAGACAGATTCGTCCTCCCACCGGTGCTTAGGATTCAATGGACGTCTATCTATCATTGTGAAAGGAAAGTATTGAGTTCTTAAACAATCACACAAAGTTATGCATAACTCTTATACGCCATTATTCAGTTGAAAGCATCCATGAGGTGTTGCTTAAATTCCTCTTCCTTTTTAGAGGCAACAACACATCATATTCTATTATACAAGTCTTCATTCTTTCTTGTTTGAAGTAACTAATCTCTTGAATTTCCCTTCTTCCTAAAATCAATCACCCAAATTCAATACACCTACATCTCTTAGCCTTCTCAAATTAGTGAGAGTCTTGAGGAACATAATTGCCTAGGATGGTCGATGCTATTGTCTCCTCCGTAGCGCAAAGGCTTGGTAACCTTCTCACCGAACAAGTTAATTTTTTGCGAGGAGTGAGAGATGAAGTCAACTCTCTGAAAAACAAACTGGAATACATGTTGTGTTTCTTGAAAGATGCAGAAGAAAAACAAGATCAAGACAGTAGGATACGCAAATGGGTATCCGATATTAGAGATGCTGCTTACGAAGCCGAGGATATTATTGACAAGTTTATTCTCAAAGTTGAAGGAGGGATTCCCGAAAGGACAGGGTTCAAAGCTTGCCTCAGAAAGTACTTTTGCATCTACAAACAAGCAAACAAGTATGGGATAGGTAAGGAGATTCAAGAATGGAAGAATAGACTCGATGAAATCGATCGAAATCATGAAATTTTCAAGATTAGAAATATCGAAGCTGCTGGGGAGGGATCAAGTGGCATGAATGAGAGATTCAAGCAACTACGAAGGACAACACCTTATGAAGACGACCAACATGTTGTGGGCTTCACCAAGGATGTTGAGTTACTGATGTCTGAACTTCTCGAAGAAACACCCGATCAACGTGTGATTTCGATTGTGGGCATGGGCGGTTTGGGTAAGACGACCATGGCTCGAAAACTTTACAACTCTAGCAGTGTTGGAGATAAATTTGAATGTAAAGGTTGGGTTTATGTATCCAAGGATTACAACATCCAGAATCTTCTTCGAAGAACAATAAAATCTTTCAAGATGCCAATCACCAAAGATGAATTGGAGATGTTGGAAAAGATGGAAACAGAAGATTTGGAGTGCCATTTACATGAGTTCTTGAAAGAAAGTCGGTACCTGGTGGTGATTGACGATGTATGGGATACAGATGCTTGGGCAAGCTTGAGAAGAGCCCTCCCAGACAACAAGAAAGGAAGTAGAGTAATTATCACCACTCGTATCAAACTTGTTGCCGAGAGTTCTGGTAGGAGAAAATATGTTCATGAGCTTCCATTTCTACAACCAGAAGAAAGTTAGGAATTATTTTGTAAGATAGTGTTTCCGGACTATGATGGGGTCGATGATAAAACAAATCGTTGCCCTCCAAGCTTGGAGGAATTGGCAAGAGATATGGTCAAAAAATGCCGTGGCTTACCCCTGGCCATAGTCGTCTTGGGTGGGCTATTGTCAAGAAAACATGCCGATGAGTGGCCCAAGTTGCAGGGCCGCTTCTGGCGGCATGTAAGAGGTGATGACTTTGAAAGCCATGACTCGGTTCATGTTACACAAATATTGGCTTTAAGTTTCACTGATTTGCCTCATCACTTGAAGTCGTGCTTTCTTTACTTGGGGTTGTTTCCTGAAGATTTTGAAATTGATGCAGAGAGACTTATACGGTTATGGGTGGCAGAATGTTTCATACAACAAGCAGAAGGAGAAACTTTAGAGGAGACAGCTGCAAAATATCTAAATGAGCTGATTGACAGAAACTTGATTCAAGTAGCTAAAAGAAACTGGATGAGAATTAGAAGATGCCGAGTGCATGATCTTCTTCGGGATTTTGCAATTGAAAAGTCGGAGTTAAATTTCCTTCATATCTATGATGGAAATTTTCATTCCGCACCCTCTCCCTGCAAACATCGAAGACTGGCTTCTCATAGCTGTGGATTAAAAAGGTTTGCTTCCTTTGATCAGTTATCAAATTTGCATTTACGAACCCTTTTGTTCTTCAACTCGAAAAATGAATCCGCCGAAATAGGGGAGTTACAATTTCTGTACAAAAAATTGAGATTGTTGAGAGTGTTAGATCTTGAGGAAATTATATTCAATCATTCCCAAGAAGAAACAGAGCATGTAAGCTTACTTGATGCAACAGAGAAGTTGATTCACTTTAGGTACTTTAGGGTAAGTGACTCCAACATAAACAAGATTCCACCATCCATAGGTAACTTGCAAACCCTACAAACCCTGGAATTTTCCAAATCTGATAGCCCAATTATGTTACCAGATGAGATATGCAATGCAAAGCAGTTGAGACATTTAATTGGATGCTTCAAGTGGCCTTTCCGAGTAGAAAACCTAACAAACCTTCAAACTCTAAACTGGATAGACATTGAGGTTGATGACCGGATGGAATTGAATCCATTAACGAATTTAATCAATCTTCACGAGCTTTACGTAGCATTGAATGGAGAACTCAAGGGGTTCACTCTAGACTCTATTGGTAGATTAAGAAGCCTCCAAACATTATTTCTATATGCGGACACTGTTTGGAATCCTACATTGCAACCACTTTCTCACTGCCAGCACCTCCTTCAATTGAAGTTAGTTGGGAAAATAGGAAAGCTACCAACAGAGATGCACGAATTCTTACCGAATCTCAAATATCTCTGCTTGGATGGAAAGAAAATGGAGGAAGATCCTATGCCGTCATTGGAGAAGCTTCCAAAGCTGACAATTCTTGACTTGTATGAGTGCCGCCGTGTAAATAAATTTGTTTGCACTCCAGGAGGGTTCCCTCAACTCGAAATTCTAATTATTGTCCGGTGTGATGTGAAGGAGTTACGAGTGGATGAAGGAGGAATGCCCCTGCTTCGGGGTTTGGGTTTGTACGACAGTGACAAGGTTAGCATCCCAGAGAGATTAAGGTCCATCCCTGTCCCCAAAAATTGGGCTGTGGCAGAGCCGGATGAGTGGCCTTACTAACAAAGAAAACAAGTTAATAGTTGCTGCCAGAAAATAAATTGTAAATAAAAGGTTTCCTTTCTTATAGATCACTTTTCTATACGTTCTGGTTTAACTTAGTTAATAAAGCTTTTCAACTGGATAGCCTATAATAAAGTTTATTTGTTCTATGTATAATTAAATGTGTGTGTGTGTGTATGTTTCCTTAACAATGTATGTTTGGTAAACTAGGTAGGTGAGTAGAGAAATAATAAGATTCACCTTATTTGGTTTTAATTTTTTGAAAATTGAGTTATTTTTATATTTTTTAGGATTTTTTTTTAATATTGTAAGTAATTTTTTTTTTATTTTTTTTCGTATTCTTGTATATTTATTGATTTTTTTAAAATATTTTTTTTGCAAATATTTTATTTTTAAGTACATCTAGATTAAGTACATCTAAAAAGTAAAAAAAAAAATTATTTAAAATAATAAATACGTGTATTGAATTTTCTTTTTCTTTTTCTTTTTCTTTTTTTGTATTTTTGGTATTTAGTGAATTTTTAGAAGTCTTTTTTCACAAATATTATATTTTTTTTATTTGTATTTATGTCAAGTGTATCTAAAATGTAAAAAAAAATTGCTTAAAATATTAAACAAATTCACTTAGAAAAACAAAACAAACGAGAATACATGTGTTTTTTATTTGAATATTGCTATTGAGGCCCAAAAATTAAAAAAGAAAAGAAAAGAAAATTCGAACCAAACAAGGTGATTATGATTTCTCTTCTAGTACTTAGGTAAGAAAAGAAAAGAAAAAAAAAATTAAATAATTATGATTTCTCATCTTTGTATTTGGATAAAAAAAAATAAAAGAGAATACATGTGTTTTTCATTTGAATATTGCTATTGAGGCCCAAAAATTAAATTCACTTTCTAACACTCTCATTTATTCTTTAATTATCAACCAACCATCTTGTTGACACATTATTGGTCTAGAAAGTGGGTATAGAAAAAAAAACACGTCTTTTTATTATCAATGCTTTGTATCTAGATTAACAGTTTAAGTACTTTTTTTTTATTTTTTATTTTTGTTACAACTACTTTTGTTTTTTTACCAAAATTGGTGAGAAACAAAACAAGAGTTTGAGGAGTTTTTTATTATTTTTATTTTTATTAAACTAATTCATATATGGACTTGTTTAGATAGAGCTTGTTTTCTTATCTGCCAAATGATGAATCCAAGCATTTAGTTCCTTGCTAGTTAAGTGAGTTAGACAAATGAAAAGATTTCTAAAGAGAGATTATGATTCAATCATTCAATTATCTCAAAAAATTGTGGTTAGAAAATGGGATAATTCTCTTATAATATGCATTAGTTACGATTTAAATTAATATTGGCGATGTGTAAAAAGTAAGACGGTAGTGCTATATTTTAGATAGCATCTCCACCTCATAGTTTCACATCATCATATGTCCTACCTTAAGTGAGATAATCGGTATATAGTAATTGACCCACCTCATGGGCATCACTCGTGTGATAATTGATATCATTTTTTACATACATCTTTAAGAATTTTGTTTTTCATTTTTTAACACATTTCTTACATCTTAGTTTTTTTTTTTTTTTTCATTTTATTTATTTAACAAGAATGAAAGTTGGAGGAAACAAAGAAAGTGGTTGGTGATGCTTGTGTTCCTGTTGTGCTGTTGGAGACTTGGAGTTCTTTTTATTTATTTATTTATTGTTTTTCCTTCTATTTGTTGTCATGTTGGTGTGCTTGTCATGTTTGTTGTATTTGGATTTCCAATGACTTCGCTTTTTATTATTTATGTACAAAAGACTATTGTGTGGTTATATTATTGCTACTATTGGCTATTACTTTTTTAATTGTGATGATATATATTGTTATGAACGCCCATTCTATTGTCAAAATATATATTGACTATTTTAGTTTGGTTATCTTAACTTAATTAAAAAAGTTATGTTTGGAATGATAGTTGATTTTTTTTTTTTTGATTTGATGATTGTAAGAGAAAAAAATTAAATAACTATAGTTTAAATGTGATATTTTATCTTATTAATTATTTTAATCTATTGTGTCTTTATTAACTATTTTAATAAAAAAAAAAAATCCTGCCAACCCAACTTCCCAAACGCCCCTTATAGGGTGGTTAATAAGAAAGGCTTTAAGGAGAGTCACTTGATGGTGGAAATAAGCTCCTCCTTGAGGTCAAGGAGCACAAAGCCAAACAGAGCATGTTGCAGAGAATTGGGTGGTTAATAAGAAATGCTACAAGTACAGTCACTGGTTGCACCGTTAAAACTTTACATTTTTGTAGACTAATGACATATTGGCCCAAAATCCACCACCACCTCTACCAATAAGACTGTCACGGTCATCGCCACTGACACAAACAAAAGCCCTCTCTTCTACTGCTGCCAAGCTTTGATGGAATCAAACTATAACCTATGATAAAAGTACTTAATTGCCAGTGAAGTGAGATCTATAATTCAAGTCAATATAATGGCGCCGAACCTACTATAGTAATATGACTATATTAACCTACTAGTATCATATCATGCGACACAAAATATTTAAAAGAGAGTTTCCCCTAGTTTTTTTTCTCAATTTTGGTATTCACATCTCATTCATCTTATACTATGAAAATGCTTAGCCAAAAGATACACTAACATCACAATCTTATTTTTTGATATTAAAAGTCAAACCAATTTTCATAATAGACATAACCAAATATTACTTGTTAACTGCCACGAATGACAGTTCTAGCAAAAACATGAGCCAGCTTGACTACTTGCCAGCTTAACTTACATATATTTACATAAGCAAAACCATTAAGATCAAATCTCCAAAATTAGCGGTTGTAAGGCCCAATCGCATGATGATGTACCACGAAGCTGTTCGACCAACCATGAGCAATCTGTGAAAATTTGGAGAACTCGAATATCCCGAACCTGACACCATCAAAACACATCCAAACATGCGCGGGTTTCAGCCACAGTGGCCACAATGTTATTAAGACAACACACCAAAGCCACAACAAGCTACAAGAGGAAATACAAAATTGACAAAAACACTATTAACATTAATTCCATCACAAAATATATATATATAAAGCCAATCACTTGGAATTCTTTGGCAGTGGTGTGCTTGCAAAAATATACGAGATACGAGTAAAACTTTTATATATTCTAGGCCCTTCGATCTCGAGGATGGGCACTGCATCAGATATCTCTTTAAATCATCTTTTGTGAGCTTCACTCTCAAGGCACCAATATTCTCATCAAGGTTTTTAATCTTAGTTGTTCCTGCAAATGTATAGTGCAAGGTTAAATACAACTTGGCCATTCA